TCTGGGTGAGGGTCTCACCTGCAATTAAACAATTTTCTTTTAAAAAAGGGGGCTTTGTAGGGACCAGCAGTTGACATAATGATTATGTTGCAGAACTCCCATGTAGTCAACCACAATTAAAGTCTCGAACACAGTGGAGTTTAAGCCATGGCGGGTGTGTGTGCGTGCATGCCCAAAACCCCAAGAAGAGAAGGGAGTGTGGCATTGCCGCCACCCCCCCGAGGGGTGATTTCTCGCTTTCTGTCTCTCTTTCTCTGTCTTTCTGGTGTGTACACGTGCCAGAAAAGAGGGGGGACTGGTGATAAATCCAACTAATGTGCCTCTTGCCATGTTAAATTATTCACTTGCTGCCTTATTAAATGAGCCAAGAATAAAATCAGGTCCTGGCAAGGAAAGGACACACCCTGATCACAGGCCAAGAATTCTGCTAGATTTCCCCCCTTTCACAAGCATGGGATACTTGAGCTTGTGGAGAGCAGCCAATCTGAGCAGACATAGTGACCTTTAGACACATGCAGAAATATGGTTCCATAAGCAGTCATTTGCAGAGCAATGAATGCCATTAACATGTGAATATGCTAGCTACATGTTGTTACTGAACTTGCAGAGCCGTACTGGTCTAAAGGAAGTCACATGTGTTTAATCAGAACTTGCCCAAAAAGATTAGGAAGAGTAGAACAACATGGTGTCAGGTGTCTTTGCATCTTCAGCTGACTAACTGGCTTTGCATTCCACTTACCATAGTTTCTGCCTTTTAAAATAAATCTTGGGGCCAGCAGGTGGCGTGGTGGTTGGGGGCGCTGGACTCCCACATGACTGACTGAGGTTTGAGTCCTGGACCTGGCAGCTCGCTTTCTCACTTTCCCTTTCTTGCTCTGCCCTTCTCTGGTCAAATAAGGAAGGAAGGAAGGAAGGAAGGAAGGGAGGAAAGAAGGAAGGAAGGAAAAAAGTAAAGTTAAATAATTCTTTTTTTGGGGGGGTTTCGCTATAGGGTGTGTGCGCTCGCCAGAGACATAGAGACAGAAAGCGAGAAATCACCCCCCAGGGGGGATGGTCACGCCGCAATCCCTTCTCCTCCATTCTCCTCTCGGGATCTTGGGCACGCATGCACACGAGCCCGGCGTGAGTTTTAAGCCACCGGATTCAGGATGTGAACCGTGGCCGACTACATGGGAGGCCAGCGACATAGCCATTACGCTAACTGCTGGTTCCCTAAATAAAATAATTCTTAAAAAAAAAAAAAGATGGCGAACGCACGCGCCCTACAGTGAAAATCTCTCCAAGAAAAAAAAAAGATACAAAATCTGGGACAAGTTTGGGCCTGTGGCTATCTCCATTAGAGAAGTTGAGACCATGCGATCCCTGTTTTCACTTGTGTGTCTTTATGTGTTTATTTTTACATTTATTCTCAAATCCACAGCTCCCGACTCAGGCACACATTCGTGTAGCCATGTGTGCCATGGCACAAGCTCTCAGGGCAAATCTTGGGACGTCAATCTCAATAACAAGTAGATGTAATCTGAGGAACAAAAGGAGTGTCTAGAGCCCCCAACAGGCCAAACTTTGGAATGATGGATGCAGGCTTTCTCTGTTAGAAGCTCAATTACAGCTTGGGGCTACAACCCCCAATGTCCCATCCCATAACTAAGGGAATCCTTGTACCAGGGAGCAGACAGGAAAGCTAGAAACAAACTTTGTGTCCTTTATTCCACCTAGCCGGCATACCCAGCAGCCACTCTGAATTTTGTCTTGGCACGCTGATGGCAGATTCCCTGGGCCCGAGGCACACCTGGGCTCTGTCTCCAGGTGGATGGTGGAGCTGGGCACTGGAGGCTTGGGCAGAGCCCCCAGGCATGAAAGGGAATGGAGTCCAGGAAATAGAACTCTGACGGAGGGTGCAGTGAGGGGCCTCAGAGGGCCTAGGCTGGGCATTAGAAGTGAAGGCGTTCCACCTGGCCCCATGTTCACTGAAGCCATACTCAGGCTGCAGGCAGAGGTAAAGGTGCTGATGCCCGCTGTGGGGCTAGATTCTTCTTCCTTGTTCCCGTGCAGCTGAAGTTGTGACCAAGAATGGGAACAGGAGGCTGCTAGGGTCTGGGAGTAGGGTCATCTGTGAAGAATGCAGAGGCCTGTCCTTTTGGAGATGTGCTGCCCAGGGCTTTAGGAATGAGATAGAGGGAAGTGGGAGTTAGGAAGCAAGAGGAGTTGAGAGAGGCTACCAACCCAAGGGTGGAGGGTGGGAGTAAGGTGAACAGGGCCAGGTTCAGTGGCATCCAGGCAGGATGTTGAGGTGCCTCTGGGCACAGTCCCCATGATGGTGGAAGACCTAGAGCAGAGGCAATTGGCCACTTGCTGGGGAGGCAGAACGAGGCCCCAGTAACAAAGACTCCATGCAGAACTATCACCCCCAGCAGTCTCAGGCAGCTTGCCCAGGGCAGCAAGGGCTATTGCTGGGATATCATGGCAAGTGCCCAGTCCAAGAAAGCCACCGTCACGTCCTGTAGGCAGAGCCAGGTCCGGTGGGTAGCCTCACTGAGCTGAGTCTTCACGCAGTCCCACGTCACCTCACCTCTGGGAGGAAGGAGCACATTTTAGGGTCAGTGTACATGCAGATGTATCAACTCACAGTCTTCAGCCCATGGTGGCCAGGGATGAGTGAGATGCAGAGCAGTGAGGGCCTAGACAGTGAATCCCTGTCCCTGGGAGCACGGAGAGGGGCCACTGGGGATCCTGCTAAAAAAGGGTCTCACCTGCAAGCCTCATGGCAATGCTCCTGGGCCCAGGCCAGGCCCTCCAGCAGCAGGTGCCACAAGGGGAGCAGCACATTCTGGTAGAGAAGCAGAAGTAGCTCCCTCAAGTACTGCAGCAGGTGGCTCAGGGTGTCAGGGAGCTGGATCTGCAGGTGAGCCACGGAGAACGGACAGGTCAGAGTGCCCAGTCCACGTGGGGCTGGCCCTTCCCAAGGCCTCTCCCAGGAACACCTGCCCTCCTGGACTCCCTGTCTCTGGCGTACCCTTTGACAGAGGCTGGCGAGGCTGTCAGAGATCCAGGCAAGGTGGGAGGCACCATGAGCAGAAAGGAAACTGACTGTGGCATTGGTGTGGGCCCAGGCCATCTGCATGCTGGGCTGCACCACGGCAAGCAGGTAGGAGCCCCAGACCGGCAGTGTCTCCCCAAGCCAGCTGTACGAGAGGATGAGGGGAAGTGAGGGGAGAAGGTTCTGAGTTCCCTCAGGCTAGTTTGGCTTCCCCCTAGCCAGAGAAAGGGAGTGGGAAAGGACAACCACAACCACAAACACTTCCCACTGTCAATGCCCACCAGCCTCTGTCACCACCTGTGACACCCAAGCCTTCTTTCCCACCTCCCATCTCCCCTCCCTGGGAGGAGCTCACCTGCAGCCTTGCAGGCTATAGGAGTAGAGCTTGGTGTATGCTTGTTGGCCAGCAGACAAGAGACCAGATGATCGAAGCAACCGGCCACTAAGGGAGGCTGAGTAAGAGGGGCTTCTGGTGAGCTGGGAGGTGACAGCGGAAGGTACTGGGGAAACAGACTATGGGTCCCAGAATCGGCACAGGGAAGTGATGGGCAGAACTTTGTTGTGTTTGTTGGGCGAAAGGGATGCTGGCCTGGAGGGCTGAGTCCCTTCTGCTGGACCAGATAGCAGGAAGAGGGCAGCAGGGAGGAGTGCTGGGCTTAGGGGTCAGAAAGCCTTGGGTTGGAGGATCTGCTCTTCTACTTACTAGCTGTGATCTTATGCTAAATCTTTCTGGGGCTCAGTAGTTTAAAAGAACACCTCCTCAGATCACACCATGAATATGCAAGCAATTCTATGCTGCAAAGTGTTAATTAGTCCATTCCTAAGTGGTAATGTCATACCTGTGGACAGAAAAATCTGTCTGAGAAGTGCTTATTTTGCAGAGCTGAGGACTCATCGGGATAAAGGAGTATGTGTCGGGGGCTGCCACATCTGGGTCCTGCCTACCACCATGCAATCTTCCTCGCTTGCCAATGGCTGCTTACCCTGGAAGGAGCTATGTGACCGGTAGTCATGGCACAGGAAACCTACGACGAAGACCAGCAGCAACAGGAGGAGACGTGTCCACGGCGGCCGAGGGCCCCGTGCCTGCTGTAACAGACCCTGTGGGACGGGGAGGGAGCAGTGGTCAGAAGGGATAGGGGCAGGTCCTCGCCTCCTAAGGCAGGCTTCATGGGAGGCCTTCCAGGAAGATGGTCAGGACAGAGATGCAGGACGGTGTACGGCTTGGACAGGGCTGGGTGCCAGCACCTTGCAGGCTGTGTCACAGCTGCTGACATCCTGGGTGTTACAGCTACCCTTCCTCAACAGCTCCTGGTTGGTGAGCTTGAAGGACTGAATGGTTTCTTGCAAAGACTTCTGCACCTAGAAGAAAAGAAAAGTCTGGGCTGAGAACATAAAACCTGGCCCGTGAGAATCTTGAGCTACCCCTGCTGTGCCAACTGTACCAACAGGTGCCAACAGAGGCCCCACACCTAGAACCCAGAAACCAAAGCTTGCCGTGCCACACCCACCCAGCTCCTCACCTTCTTGGGAATCCGCTCCCAGGTTCTAAGCAGGTGATCCAGCAGGAGGCTGTGGGAAAGCACAGCCCTTCCATCAGGTGGCTCGCCTGGCCTCTGCCATGCTCCCCTCCCATGCCTATGACCTGTCAGGCCCTGGCTCCTTCAGGCTGAAAGACCCTCCTCCCCACCCACACAGAAGCAGCTTCCTAGAAGCTACCCCAGCCATGCTGCCACTCAACCTGGGGCACAAGCCCATGGAACTGTGACCCACATTCCCCTTCTGCTTCCGGGACAGGAGGGCCAGGCTCAGGCTGGAAGCCATGAACTAGAAAACTTCTCTGTGGGTCAGAGGCAGTCCCCCCACCTGCCTGGACTGTGACAAGTGCTTGGGGTACAGCTGCCTCCAGACACCAGCACTGAGGGGGTCCACCGTCAGGCACTCCGTCAGGTTACTCAGGAGCTGCACAGGAAGACAGAAGGGAGAGACTGCTGGGGAAGGGGCTGGGAGAGGGGAAAGTGCTGAGAGAAGTCCCCCTCCCCTAAGAAGGGCCTCCCGGCACATGTCCAGAGCAATAGTGCCAAGACTCCAGGAAACTCCATCTCTCTCTCTCTCTCTTTTTTTTTTGAGAGAGATTTTTGCTACAGGGTGCATGCACTTGCCAGAAAGACAGAGAGACAGAAAGCAAAGATGGCCCTAAGGAGGATGGCCTAGGGAGAATGGCCACACCACAATCCCTTCTTTCAGGATTTTGGGCACCTCCATAAACAACCCACACCCGCCGTCAGTCCATTTCAAGCCAGTGGGACTAGAACTGCGGTCAACCACATGAAGTCCAGCAGCGTAACCATTATAACATCTGCTGGTCCCAGCTCCATCTCTTTTTAATGTCAGAGGGTACACATGTGCACGAGAGAGAGAGAGAGAGTACGCGAACGAGAACATCAACAGGGCCCATTCACGTGGCAATCCGTTTCCTGCCAATTCTCCATCCTGTCAGGATCGTAGGCCACATGTGTATGGTGTGTCTTTTAAGCCGTCTGGGCTGGGACTCGAACCTTGGTTAGCCATGTGGGCTCTGGATATTTCAGCGCTTAACCAGTGAGCTATGGGGCTGGCCCTCTCTTTTTAAAAGTGTCTACTGGGGGCTGGCAGGTGGAATGGTGGTTAAGGTGGCTGGATCCCATATGGCTAAGTGGTTTGAATCCTGGTCTAGTGGCTTGAAAGACACACTGGATATCGATGCATGCATGTCCAAAATCCTGAGAAAAGAACATGGAGAAACCACTTCCCTGGGGGAATTTTTCACTTTTTGTCTCTCTGGCAAGTGGATACACCCTACAGTAAACTATTAAAAAAAATTCTACTTACTTATTTCTTGGGTAAGTAGTGCCTGAGAAACAGGCAGTCCAGCGAGTGGGGATCACAGGCACATGTGCATGTGTCCTGTGTGGACAAGACCTGAGGACACACCAGGTCTTCCATAAAGCTTCAGCACTGCATTACTGCCGGACCACCGTGGCTGGGTGGCTTTAAAGGGGGCAGGCTGGGACTCCTGGGCTAGAGCTTAGGCTCGAACATTACTCGCTTCCAAGCGATAGGTCCAGAGAAATGCCCTAGACCTGACTGTCCTGCCCATTTAGGTCCACTCTTCGGAGGGCAGAGCACGAGTGAGGAGGGTGGGCAGCTGCCAGAGAGCACCAAAGAAATGCCCGGGAAATGGACGGTGTGAAGGCATCAGACCCTGAGCAAGAAGAGGAAGCCTCCCGCCATTTGTTCACCTCTTTTTTCATCTCAGGAGGACAGCTAGGGGTGGCTCTGGACAGGAAGGAAGGGAAGTAGGTATGCAGAGTGGATTCCGGCTTCGCCCCGAATGCCAGCACCTTCAGTCGGGGGTAGAGCTGACACAGCTGCTCCTGCAGGCTGGAGCGGGGTAGGGAGGAGAGCCAGGCATTGGTTGTCAATGGAACTGTGCGATGAGAACTTTGTGGGCCTCAGAGCCCACGCTTTGCTGAGGGGACAAGTTACCCGGGCTTTGCAATGCCTCCAAACTCTTTTACCCAGAGACTCCTTGGAAAATCCTACAGCTTGGAAAGCCATAGACCCTCTTCCTAAGAAAATGCTCACATGTCTATCATACTCAAGGGTCCATATTATTTCAGGGTTCACTGATCCCTTAAAACCCACCCTTGTACTTCTGGGTTGAGAATCTCAGATCTAGGGAGGCTGGGGGAAAAGAGATGGCAGGGCGGGTGGTTTCTTCACAGCTGGTGTCCAAGGGCAGTCCTACCTGGGTGTCAGGGAGTTGTTGGGCATATAGGCAAAGTCCAGAAGTGGGAAGAAGTCCTTGGGGCCGATCATACCGAAGCCCTTGGTGAGGTTGGGATGTATGCTGTGGGGAAGGAAGGAAGGTATTTGCTGGAGGCCACTGCCCAGGCCGTGACTCCAACTAAGCCAGTATCTAGGAAAAGGGCATAAACTCGACCCCAACCCCCAGCCCTTAATGGTCTCCTCACTTTCCTTCCTCACCATCACATTCTTTCTTTAAAAAAAAATTATTTAACTTTATTTATTTATTTTAATTTGACCAGAGAGGGAAAGA